ACCGAGGCTTCCCATGCGGTCTGGCATCCCAGTCAAATCACCTCGACAAAAAGAACACAATGGAAAAATACACAAATAAAACATCACATCAATACATCAATCCAGCATGGAGCACTAGAGAACTGAAGAGTGGCAGGAATCAAGGCAGGAGACCTGCAGATGAAAGCTTGTTAAATCCATCCGAAGTCATGTTGCACTAGGAAGATTTCGTTCATTAAAAACCGCCCACATGCGCAAGACCGGCATTGCGCTTGCCTGTCACCGTTTTGTCCAGGGGTCTACAGATCTTGAGATCCAGAGGTCTAGAGGTCTAGAAAGATCTAAATGCAGAGAGGTGTAGGTCAGGAGGTCTACATCCCAAAAACTAGAATCTCTTAAGAGATATGAAGCTTCTAAGCTTCCAAAGATCCAGAGTTTGAGGTCTAGGGGATCTAGAGCTCTACAGGTCTAGAGATCCAGAGGTGTAGAGGTCTTGAGATCCGTGGTGTAGTGATCCTGGATGTCTAGAGGTGTAGAGCGTGGAGACCTCTACGTCTCTGGAGAAGACCTAGAGAGGTCTCAGTCCCAAGGTCTAGAGGCCTAAAGAGTTGAGATCCAAAAGACTCGAGAGGTCTAGAGATCGAGAACGTACAAAAGGCCTAGGTCCATAGGTCTAGGGTTTTAGAGGTGGATAGAGTTGTCTGCGCTGCGCCTGCAACGAAAGAGCACACATATCAGAGCACAAATATAAGAGCACACACATGAGACTGCACATGTGACAGGACATTTGCTGCAACTACCACGAAATCTGCACTGCGAGTTTCGCAAAAAATTGCGCCCGCCACGAATCTACGCTTCAAGGTCCACAAAGCGATGCGCCTCCCACAAAGTCTGCACATAAAGGCTCACCTGCCTTGCTCCAATCTCCTGCACTGTCGACATTGGGCCACCAAAACACGAGGTTGCCCTTGCACCTGCCACAAAAACTAACCACCAAACCCGAAAATGCGCATGGCGCCACAACAAGACCCTCGAGCGCAGTCGAAAATAGCGCGAACTCCAGCACAGCAGTTTCTGCGAGCTTGCGCAGTGGACACGCACTTTGAAGTTCTCGATCGCACCGTGAATAAGAGCGAATTTACCGCGCGTGCCGATGGAGCACCTCGATCAGACACCCGGTCTTAACCACTACCATAAGAACCCCTGTGACCACGTTGGTCGGGAAACGCATAAAGAATAGCACGCAAAGAAAGAATGATGCTGCATGGTAAGCGTGGATTTGGCTCTGGTAGAAACATCCCTGCCGTTCTATAGACCCTCTCAGTACCTTGCGAAGTTAGGTATGTGCATGTTCACCCGACATGAAGATGTCCATGCAACACGGCTGAATCGCAAGAACACAGCGTTATCAGTTCGTTTCCAAACATCTGCATCTAAAAGTGTTCACCGTCAATAAGGCAAAGCGTGCCGAATTACGAAAAGAACTCTTCCCAGGTGTAAGAGGCCGACTTCTGTCTCGAAAACCACGAGCATCCTGCAGGCTCCATTCAGCTCTTAGAATCACTTACCAAAGAGCAACCCAAAATCAATTGATTGCCTGTGACATCTGCTCCAACAACAAAATTGGGTGCGAGATGTCCTCAAAGTCAGAGCCACGTCTGAATGGTCTTCCTTCAAACCGGGGTGCGCGGCCTCCTGCCGCAGGCTGCGCAAAGCTCAACATTTCCAGGACAAATATATCCAGCTTTGCAGCCCATCAGCAGGCAAATAGAAAATATCATGCGTCATATAACTGTACTCACCCCGTTTCATTCAACATAAACATCAGCGGTGGACACCCCAACTACGTGTTGCTAAAGCTCCAACCCGAACCCAAACCCATTTACTAAATGCAGAGGAAGCTGGGAAGCAAGAACGGGAGCAGGAATTAGGGTCCAACAAGAAGGAAAGCGCATCAGAACTGCAAAAACGTTGCTCCAGGCACAACAGCGGGTTGCCAGGTTCGCACAAATACCTGCCACGCTGCTGTTCTTAAAAACTACTGACTGCATAGAAGGAGAAAAGGGTAGCGGAAACAAGAGGCACACCACATGCGCGACAGCACAGAAACATCTTGTGCACAAAGCATCTTTTGTGCACACCTCTGCCCGGGCGCACCAAACTTGCGTTTGCGGGAAATGGCGTCGGGACCCTGTCGGCTCCAGTCGCTGCAGCTGAGAGCTTGGGCGCCGGTTTTGCTTTTCAGTGATGGAGTGATCGTCACAGGTAAGTTGGCAAAAGAGCTTTTCTTAGGCAAGAAGCTACTAGGGGCTCCCGGCATCGCTAGTAACAAGGACACTACTAGGGGCTCCTGGCCTTACTACTAGGAGCAAGGACGCTACTAGTAGCGTCGCTCCTAGTAGCACTGCGCAAATGATTGGATGGCCTCGGTGTGGTAAGTTCAGCGTTGGAGAGACACGATTGGAGGAACACAAGGAACAGCGCATGTTTTCTTGTGGTGTGCCTTCTGCCGCTACAAAGCATTCTTTCTATGGAACGCAGCATGTTGCTCGCAGCAATGCCACATGCAGTTGCGTGTGCCTAGGGGTGCTTTTCTGCATCGGCAACAGCGTTTGTGCTTTTGGTGCACCTTGGAAGCATTCTTTTCTACGCTGAAAGGGCATCGCTACTAGGAACAAGGACGCTACTAGGGGCTCCTGGGCTGCAGGGCCTCGCGTTTGGATCGCATTGAAACTGACAAGGCCATTCACAGCACCTGACAACTGACGGAATAGCGCCCAGGGTTCAGGGTTCCAGGTTCCAAGGTTTCAGTGGCAACACCAGGTTCTAAGGTTCCAGGATTCCGATTATCCCAGAGATCGAAACCGAACAGCATTCTGCTGCTGGGGACTTGAAGTACAAAACATCAGAAAGCATCAGAGATGTAGGCAATTGAGGTGCTTTGGGTGAAATTTTGACAAACAGCCACAAAATCAATCACTTTTGGTGATGCTGGATCGGACGCTGGGATGCATCACAGTTGGCTGCCAGTTTCCTTCTTGAGTCCACTAGACTGGACACCTGGCCACAAATGTCAGCACACCTCACAGAGCCCGACTAGACGGATGACAGAAACCCTCAAAGTGCAGTTTTTCGGTACCTCTCCCCACGTGCACACGTTCTTTTCTCCCCACGTGCCTGCGCATTGCGATGTCTTCGGACTTCATGAGCGAGAGGACGCTACGAACGGAGCAAAGGGCATCGCTACTAGGAGCGATCGGACGCTACGAACGGGGCTCCTGGCCTTTACTACTAGGAGCAAGAACGCTAGTAGTAACAAGAAACCACAGGAACATCCGCCAAGACAACAGCACTGATCGGCTTTCCAAGCCCCAAAAACACCAAACAAGCGACTGGCGCAAACAAGGATACTGGAAACGGGTACACCTGAAACCACGGACCGTCTCAAAACTCCCAAACATCAGAGCTAGGCTACAGACTTGAGAACAAATACAACAGCTAACGGACAGACTTGACTGATGAAGAAAGCATGACATACAACATGGAGGAAGAACAGCCAACAGCACAAAAACGAGCAGACTTGACACCTACCCTTCGAGAGTTGGTGTCCACCATGTGTGCAAAACGAAGGACAATCAAAGCAGCAATATCCCAGTATACGAAACGACTTCAAGACCAGGCGAAACAACAACACCGATCCTAACCAGGATTGATCTGGAAACAAGCATGACAATGGCGGTAGTATGAGACAAGCAAAAAGATGTTCAATACCACACGCAAGGTTTACTCGCATTCCTTCTTGAATGCCGCGGGCGTGAGCAGTTCACAACAATGCACTCTGATCCGGAGCGATGCCTGATCGCCATCTTGAAGACAGCGTCCAAGAGGGGAGGCAGCATTGCGATGAAGCAAGCGTCGGCATACACACACATGTCACATACTCGAACACTTTCACAGAGTACTCACTGGCCAAGTCAGAGCACATTGCTCAGAAACTACAAGATAGCCAGCATCAGCAGCAAACGCACTATCATTATAAAGCCTTTTCGGCTACTACTGACAATGGCGCAAAGAGCACAATGTTAGTCTACATGCTTCCAACATCCAAGCAACGTCGGAAGCTGGGAACAACGCTTCATGCACAACAACAAACTAAAACATCACCGCCATTCCATCCAAGGTTGTCCGAGCCCGAACAATTCGCAGACAACCACTACCAGAATGACGGCTTCTTGCTACTAGTAGTAATGCCCTAGCTCCTTGCTACTAGTAAATGGCCTGCAACCCAATAGCGATGCCCTCCAACCTAGAAGCGATGGGGAAGAAATGTATGCGCAAGGCAATGGATTGGGGATAGATAGGCGGCATGCTATTGGTGCCCAGTCCATCATGTCGGATACGAAAAACGAGCATTCTCTCCTCGCTGTCCAAAGCTGGGGCGGTAAGGATCCTCAAGCGCAGCTTCATTTGGACATCTCCAAGAATTACTAGTAGCTTCTAGCTACTACTAGCGATGCCAGGAGCCCCTAGTAGCTTCTTGCTCCTAGTCGTATGGCCAGGAGCCCCTAGTAGCTTCTAAGCTTTAAAAAGAAGACAAGTAGTTTGGTGAATCTCAGAAAATCCTCCTCGGATGCATAGGGATCGACTGCAAACTTCCTGCCATCGTGCGATGTCTCGTATCTGCCCCAACAAAACCCTGTTTTGTGGAATGCCTGTCCTGATACACTGACCAAGTCTCAGTCGACTAAGCAAAGGCACTGGCAATATGTGGGAATGCAAATGCATTCTGGCGGCATGCGCCTCAAATGCTGAAAATAATAGTTTCATTCATTCAAACGTCAACTGGTCTATCTCTCGCACCATGATGCTTTTGCCAAGGCCCTCGCACGCATTGCCATGGCGCCGCCTTTCTACGCAATTCCAACTTTAAGTATTGGTAATGTTTAAACTTTAAACTTTTGAAATTCATGGCACAGTCCTAGTCTGAGCAAAACTGAGTTGAGCACAGACAAACCTAGCTGCATGACTACAACGGTCTTGTCACAGGGTTCTGCAACCTGCAACCCTGCATTGTGGACCACCGGGTCGCCATTTCCCTACTTTTTTCGCTCACACAAATCCATCATGCTTCCTCAGCAGTGTGAACAGCTCCTCAGTGTGGACAGTGGCACAAAATAGCGAATGAAATCCAAAAACAAGTCACAGAAACGCGCGGAAATCAATACGACTGTCTTAAGTCAATAAACAAGTATTTCCACGGCTTGCCCTGGCCTTTGCGTTATCTTTTTCGTTCATGCAACATCCTTGGGCGCAGGAAAGAAACATTGGAACCACAAATTCTTCGAGGTTTTGCAACACTCTGACACTTGTACCACAAAGTTGGTGTTCGCAATGTCAACTTCAGTGGGCATACCATTGTCACAAAATGGCAAAGTGTGTGGAATCGACATTTGACACGTCCACCGACCGCCTTCTCGCAGGAAATCGTCGTTGAATACGTTCATTTTTGTCATTTCTCTCCTCGTTCTGTCTAGTTTGCTCAACTGTTTGGTAGCACGATCCTTTTGAACCCAGCGCTTCGCGGCGAAGTAAAGATAAGAACAGATACTACACATCTATACATGTCAGTGACCTAACAAAAGTTGACACGCCGCCTCAAAATGAGACGTTCAAGGAACATTTTGTTCTCTTCGCCACTAGGTTGAATACTGCTTCTTCTAAGCAGTTTAGGAAAGGCCATCCAAGCCTTTTGTACACATATCGAAGATATGGTCCGTTCTGGCGTTGTCTCAATGCTATTTCGACAAAACTTGTTTGTAAATTCGTTGTAGTACCTGGTGGTTCAGTTGGTTCACCAGTACTTTTCGTAGTGCTCAACAACACGTGGTTCAGCTGTTGCACGTGTGTTGTTCGTATGTTGCCATCAACCATGCAAATTGTATTGAATTGCTTAACTGTAGATCTGTAGGTTCAGCTGTTACTACAGCCCACAAAAATCAAATTTGAACTTCCAAAATTGTCTTGTCCACTGAAAATCTAAATGTCTGTGGAACCGCGAGGTCTTTGTTCTTCCCCACTGTCTTCCGACTCTGACCAATGGTGTAAGTTCATCCACATCTCTGGGTCAGATACCTCGCTTGCCACACGAGTATCTTCGCTCTCCGGATCGCTTTCCACTTCGTCTTCTTCTTCCTGATCTTCAAGTGTTTCCATGTCCCGATCTGGTCTCGAGATTGCACTTGCACCTGTTGTTGGAAATGCGCTCGATGAACTGCTTCTAAAATTCCTTCCAGGTAAATTACTCGAGGTAAAATAACCATCTCTTGCATCACTCTCCTCTATGATTCTGTCACTTCTTTCTGCTTCAGGCTCTTCCAACTCTGGCACTTCTTCTCCACCTTCCGTCTCTTCATCCACTGAAAGATCTGTCATGGATCTGCAAAAATTGTGAGCTCGTCTCCTAGCTGTTTCTCCTGGTCGTTGCTCAAGAATGCTCAACACCGATTGCAAGATCTCTCGACGTTTGTAATATTTCTTCCGCTCTTCTTCACTCATGTTTGCTCCTCTTCGATCGATTCTTCTCTGGACTCTTCCCAACATCCAATATGTAAACCACTCCGGCGACCAAACTGCCCACCTTGCTGGAGGATCAATGGGCATAGGAGGAAACTGCGGTGGCCTTGGAGAAATGGTCGTAGGTGTCTCTGGCACAGGATCGTCGCTAGCTCTTGCATCACGATCCCTTTCTGGCTCTGGCTCTTCTATATCTTGCCAACTCATCCCAGTTGTTGTACACCCAATTGCACAACCAAACCAAAATGAGGATGAGAACTGTCATCACAAATTGCTGCTGACTCACTTGCTCGCCGCCTGGATGAGATTCTTCTTCAACGCAACCTTTCAAGCTCATGGCCTGAACAAACAATGAACATTGTACCAAATGCCGTGTTGCTTTGTTTTTCAACCATCTGTTCACCTGTCGGACTTGCTGCTTCCATGACAACTCTGCAAAATAGCTCACCTGTTCTTGTTCACCAATCACTTCAACCACATTGTTGTGTTCATCCAATCTTGTTGCTCCCAAAAACGACAAAAGGAACTTTCTCCGCAGCGAAGTGAGTTTCTTTGTGTTGAGGTCTGAAACATTTGTCTGCGTTGGAATTGGCAATGCTTTCACCAAGTGACCACGAATTGTTTCCTGCAGCCAACACAGTCGAACATCGATATGCTTCAGTCGACCCAAGCCTGACCTCTGCAACCGTTGTCGACCTGACGATGAATCGCTTCTCGCCTCCAAAAGAACTTCCTGTCCCAACATGAACTTCCAAACCTTTTGTAGCAGAATCGCTTCACTAACTCCAGATGTCAATGCTAGCGCTTCAGCTTCACACGAGGATAATGCTACTGCTTTCTGTGTCCTGCTGTACGACAAAGCCAAAAGACCGTTCAACAAAATCATCACTGAGGTCGTCGACTTCCTGTAAAGGCTTCCAGCCCAGTCACTATCACAGAACACCTCCATGACGTGGATGTTGTCGTCCTGATCCAACTCTGGTGCATTGTTCAACTTGCTAGCCAACCTTGTACCAACAGGAGTGTAGGGTAGTTTGAATGCAAACCCTTGCGTACCCTTCAAGTACAAAATCAACTGAACCAAACACCTCTCAGCATGCTCTGTTGGCGTCTTCATTGATGAAGCTAGTGTCTTCACACAATACTGGATATCACAACGGTCATGCGACATGTACATAGCAATGCCGAGTGCACTCCGAAAAACTGCCTGACGATTTGAATCAAGCTCTGGAGATGTGTCCGGTTGTCCCAACAAACAATGCTCTGGAACCTGTTTTGCTTTCCTTCCCTCTAACTCATACAATCTAAGCAAGCTTTCCACATGCTTTGCACTTGCTTTGACATACACCCCTTCTTCTGCGAACACGTACACCTTCTTTAAATAGTTCAATTCTTCTCCTGCTCCTAGAGATTCACGGGGTACAGGTCCTTCGACTTGCAGCTTGTAAATCTTCCGAAGTTCTTCTACCAGCCATTCAATGTCACTGGCCTGTTCTGCTGCTATCAACTCATCATCCACATGTACGTTCAACACAACACGACGTGTTCGATGTCTCAACACCGAAGGCATAGCCACACATTGGCTGAAACCTAACCTCTTCAACACTGCTGAAAAATCTTGGAACCATCTCTGGGCACCGTTCCGTTGTCCTGGAAAAACTTTGCACAACTGCCACATTGAACTCTCTGGCAACCGTAGGAGATTCTTAATCCAACTTGAAATCTTCGCGTAGCAAATCTCCTGTTGTTTGACTGTAAGGTATGCATCCGAAATGTCAACGCTTGCAATCTTCCAACCAAAGAACAAATGACAGAAAAGGAAAACTTCACAACCGAATGTGAGGAGGTAGGAGAAAAGGTCTCCTCTGTCGATGGCCCCGTCTTGAACTCTCTTGCAACAATGCGACACCGCCGCTTCCACTGGCCATCCCTAAACCTCCAATCAAAAACTTCCTTCAAATCAATAAATTTTCCTTCAACTGCCATCTCTGTCTCGTCGATGGTTTTCACGACACCCAAGCTGGTGAGCTTCTCGACTTCAGCTTTCATTGCCTCACCATCAATCTGTTGAAGTTCCTCAGGTGTAACATCTGGTGGCCTCTCACCATGGAAATCAATGTCCATGCTTTCCAACTCTTCGCCCACCATTTCCCAATCAATGTCTTGTTCCCAACAAATGTCACCATGTGGATTGTCAATGCTTTCAACGTTGCCTGCAAACAATGGTGCATACAATCCTTGCTTTGGGCTTCCTTGTGGACTTTCAACTCTGTCATGACGCGCCGCCTTGGTCTCGCGGTCCTCCTCCAATGTAGCTCCTTCCCTTTTCTCCGCTGGAACTCCTTCTTGGTCCACCTCAATCTCAGCTGATATCGGAGGTGTGCCAGGGATGATCGGGATTCCCAGCAAACTCTTCCGTTGCACCTCCGTCAACCGCTCCAAAGGTTCCTGCACCAACGCACTCGGTTCAGCTGGGGGACTTCCAACTTCTGTTGGTGTGTAGGACTCCTGGTCTCTGACTGCTTCCCCCTCCTCGTCGATGTCTCCAGTCTTCAACAAGATTGGTTCACGGGGATCTTCACCTTCAGCCCGCTCTTCAATCACCGGCAAAGGGGCTTCCAAAAGTCCAACATGACCTGAGCCCTTTGCCTTTGTCCAAGGTGTCATCGTGATCGCCATGATCACATCAGCTCTCCACGGATTCGAGCACCTTCTGATTGAACGGGTATGGAACTGTCCACCTGGGGTGATCAACACATGCATGTCTGACTCATCTTTCCCAATCCACATGCCTCCTTGCCAAACGCTTGTTCCAGTTTTCTTCATCGGCTTTCTCAACCCAAAAGCAAACTCACCAAAAGGCAACAACTTACCATTGCGCTGTCTTCCAAAAACTGTTTCGAAGGCTGTTGCTTTGATTGCCGAATGCTCATGGAATCTGTTGAGGAGGAATACGGCATGTACCAATGACCAAGCTCTCAAACAATGTAAACCATGCAAAACCTCATGGATGTGATCTTCAACACTGGTCATCAATGTACTTGCCTGTCTTCGAACAGTCTGTATGTACCGTTCAACACGTGCTGTCCTGCCCTTATGATAGGGCTTGCCAACCTTCTTGGAAGTCGGATACCCCATCTCCTGTCTCACCATGACCACCGTGTCCAGCAGTCCTAGAGTCGCAGGCTCTGAATCCATCACATACACCACCTCACTCAAATAATTGAGTCCCAATGAGAACCGCACGCAAAACTCTGCAAGAGCTCTCCAAACACCCTTGCTCCTTGCTGGAAAAATTGCCCCATACCGTGTTGTCGTATCCAAGAGGATCAATGCTGGGCAATTGCGACCTGAATACATCCAGTCCATCTGAATGTGTGGAACACCTGAATCCTCCTCCGCAGCATCTGTATTCTGAATCGTCTTGTCTTCACGAGATTTGGTTTCAGACAAGAATCACACCACGGAGCTAAAGGTAAATGAGTCACTTCATGGCGTTCAATGATCTTTGGATCATCGGGTTTCTCTGCACCTTTTGTCTGGATCTTTGCCTGAGGTCCAAGCATCTGCTGTTGCAAGTTGTGTTTGATGCTCTCAATGTCCTTCTTGTGTTCCCTGCTGAAATATGAGCACAAACGATCAAACAACTTTGTTTTCGATCCACTTGCATTCACTCCCAAAAAGTTACATGCATCTTGGAGATCTCTGACTTTGCTTTGCTTTGACACTTCCTTTCCGTTGATCCACAAACTCTCTGGTTGTTCCTCATGTCCGCCTGAAAAATGCATAGACGGTGCTCCTTGCAGCTCAACTGGGATCTCAGATTCTCGACGAAACAGCTCCTGAGTGTTGTCCTTCTTCTCGAACTCGTCAACAATTTCGGGAAGCTGGGACTCCAACACTGGCTCACACAGACAAGCACTCAACGGTTCAACATGCCTCTGAGGAAAAGTGAGGATCGATTGTAGTGGGAATCAAAATGCCAGGAATGTCTGCTGTCAACTCCGACAAACCGTCCAAAGCTTTTGAGTGTTCGACCACCTCCCAAACAGCTCCTACCAACACGATGGTTGTTCTGAACTTCCAAACTCTCGTGGACAACGCTTCACTGGGATCGACAAAACTTTTGCCATGCTGTTTGTGAACCGGATTTCCATTGCTCAAGAACTGCCAACCAAGCTTCAATGAATCGACATCAGCCTGCATCTTCACATACACTGCACGAACCAATGACTGCTCGGTTTCCTTCTCCTTCACCTTTCTCACATGAGCAAAAACACTGAGGCTATTCTTGCGGAAGTAGACCGGGATCCGAACTGCATTATCTGGAGAACCTAGGATGCCAGCACACTGTCCTCGACTGGCCTCTTCGAGAAGGTACCGATCCTCCTCGCGCACACCTGAAAAGGTCCATCCTCTCCGCAGCAACCGACCGAAGGATAAAAGGATGTTCGCGACATCAGAAACAATGAATGCTTCGTTCAAGCAACAACCAATGTCATCGTTCAAGCAATGCTCAAACTCCACTTCAACCTGCCTCATCCCGCCTATATCCAAAGGATTGCCCTGTGCGTCTTCCAATTGGACCTGTGGTGACGGGATGTCATATCCTGCAGCACAACGACGTGGCAAAAGGGAAACATCAGCTCCTGAATCAAGGACTATCCATTCTTTCTCTTCTTCCCACATTTCAACTGTTCGCACTTGCAAGACCTCCGGGTCATGCTGAGCTTGCGGCACCTGATCAACAACCTGTTCTGACAAGAGCCAAAAGTAGAACGGATCGTCTGCACATGACTCTGCTTCCAAAACTGTGTCTTGACCATCGAAAATGCAAAACTCTTCACACTTGTTTCCTACTTCATTCACCACTCTAACACTTCCACTCATGGTCCAATCTTCATGTGATGAAGCTTCTGAAAGGGCGTAACACTCGGGCACTTGAAGGGGTGGTGTACCGACGTGGTATAAATGAACTCTTCTCACCGCTCTCTGTGTTGATGTCGAACCTGTTGCACTGCCAACTGAACTGTAAGTTGTGGCACTGCTCGAAGGGATACGGGCTGCTCCACCATCCTGACTTGAAGCCTGACCAGCCTCAACACGCACCTCTCTGACTCCTTGCCGCTGTGGACATTCGTTGCCCCAATGTCCAAACTCACCGCATATCCGGCACCGATCCGGATGAACCTTTCCCTTCTTTCCTTTTCCTTTCGACTTGCCTTTCTGCTTTCCTTTCCCCTTCTGTTTGCCCTTTCCTTTCTGACCTTTACCTTTCTTGCCGCCCTTTGACCAAGCATTCGACCAACTCCAAAAGCTTGACCAATCTCCTTTTCCTTTTTCCTCCTTTCTTGCCTTTGCCACCTTTCTCACCTTTCCAGCCTTTTCCTTTGTTTGTCACTGCATCCACCTCCATCGGCCTTGAAGTGTCCTGCGTGCCTTGTCCGGCACGATTCAACGGCTTGATCATGTCTTCGACACTCCACAACCGTGAAGACCTTTCATAGGCCAGGATTCGTTCTCGAACCTCATGGTATGAAGAAGCATCCAAATCGACAATGTCAAATGCTGTCGAACGTTGTCAGGGCAAAGTCTCAACAAAACTCCCAACAAGATGTCTCTGTCATACTGCTTTGTACTTAGGGCGTCATATTGTTGCACCAATGTCTCCATCCCCATGATATGCTCTTGAAGCGTCTTGTCCTTTGAAGGTCTGTATTGAGGAAATGAAGAAATTGCTTGACTCAATGCCAATGCCCTCTGCCTTGTTGCTGGTGCAAAATGGTCAACAAGCTGTTTCCACAACGCGTAACCATTCCGGTCCTCCGATCCTGCTCTGCTCAACTGGAGGGCTGATCCACGAAGGTATGAAGTTAACACCGCATACAACTTTCGTGCTAGGTCCCATTCTTGACCTGTCCAATCCACCGTCTCCACAGCCTCTGCAGGTGACAACTTCTCGATGTCCTGAATTGCCTCCAAAAGCCTGCTGTCTGCATAACTCAACCAATTCAAGAAACTGTGTCTCCATGTCACCCAAGCCATGCTATCTGAAGAGGGATCGAACAATTCAGGCGTCTTCAATATCTTGGACGCTGACTCTAGAGACTTGGCCACGGAAGCCGTGGCAGAACCTGAAGACGCTCCCAACACCTCTGCAACTCCCCTCAACGTTGCCTCCTGACGTGTAATCAGTTGTCCCAAAACCTTGCATGAGTTGCGAAAATTGCTCCTGATCCATGGCATGAACTCCGTAGCTCAAATGTACCAACAAGAGGAATGAAACACCTTTGGTTTGAAGTCCAGTTGCCAACTTTGTCAACCGTTCCTTGTGACTCCAACGTTTCTTCCTTTGAACATCATGCCGTTTCCTCTTGTTTCTCAGGCTCAAGCGCTTCCTCAACTTGTAAACGAACCAAGCCACTGCCAAGGTCAATGTACACCCAATGACTGCTACCATCAACATGTCATGCTTGTCCCGTGACAATGTCAAAACGGTTTCAAGAACACGACTCAATTTTGGCTCCGACCAACAATGCTTTCGTCCACTCTGCCGAGACAAGCACAAATGAAATCAACCGCAACTCAATGCACAATGCAAAATCAACAATGTGCCACTGAAATGATTCCAACAACTCTAGTCCTGTAAAACGCAGCTCTGCAACAGTGAATGGAATCAAAAACAAGCACAGCAGAATGACCCCACTTAGGCAGGGATCTCTCCAGTCCATCAACCCGTCGCCCCGGACGTCCGCGCTAAGCGTCACTGATAGCGCTATTGCACCTCCCCCGGGGCTTTGCCCGGGATCTTCAGTGCCCCGCTACCATGTTTGGTAGCACGATCCTTTTGAACCCAGCGCTTCGCGGCGAAGTAAAGATAAGAACAGATACTACACATCTATACATGTCAGTGACCTAACAAAAGTTGACATCAACACAACTCTTTGCTGGGATCTTGGCTGTCATCTAGCCACATTCCTGCCAATGAGAGGGTAAAACCATAGCATAAGAAAACCGCAGGCATGCGCAAGTGAAAATAACACACGTGCTGTGTGAAATGTTCAAACTCGTTTCTGGCACCATCCCACTGCTGCGGCCACAATAGCAATCGCAAGTCCGGGCGCATTCTCCTGGCAACAACTGGTAAAGCACGCAACACATCCGAGCTACAAAAATGCGAAACAAACACAAATCGCAAAATAACGAATTCAACTTGTCCCTTGCGAAAACAACGAAACTACTTAGACTTGGCTGCGCGGTCCTCAAGCCAGAAGGGGACACCACTGCGATACCACGAGTCCATTGCACGCCTTGCAAGAATGACTTGCAAAATGTGACCTTAAGTCTTTGAACTGTAAGTTCGCATGGTTGTGTTCCCCGCTCGGTGTTTTGGCATCGCCATTTATTTTTGCAAAGCGGTCACCAATACTTCACCGCCGTCCTCCAAAGGCTTGGTTCTTTGCGTCTTGGAGGGGTCCATGGGGCCCTGGCACACAAGCGCTGCAAACGTCAAACACGAAAGAAAGAAAGAAAGAAAGACAGAAAGAAAGAAGGAAAGAAAGACATAAAGACAGACAGACAGACAGACAGACAGACAGAAAGACACACACACAACAGAAACATGCCTTGGCGCCTTTCCTCTCCTGAAAGCCAAGGTCAGAAAACACGGAACCCACTGCATTCTAGGAACCACATAGTTTCCGGCAGAATTGAGGGAAACTTCTGATAATGCCTATATGGTGCGTCAGCTGGCGACGTGCAAAGTGTTGCTTCTTGACGCGGTGAGACGGCCGATGTAATATATAACCTTTTCCGGTCTTTCGTCACGCCAGAGGTTGTGGCCTGTTGCGCTGACGAGCCAGTGGCTCCAGGGCAGCTTGCAGCCCAACATAGACGCAAGAAGCCATCCAAGGGCGGCATCCGACAAATGCTCGGGCGTGGCGAGAATTTCATCCGGCAAAAGAACAAAGCAGGGCGCCACGAAATACTCAGGCGGCAAATCTGACATGGTTGGCACTCTGTTGTCATTAGTGGAGTACCACTGTCACCTGTGTCTTGAATCCTGACCTTGCCATTAGAAGGTCAAATTTTTGGTCTCTGGAGATTTGAGAGCCATGGGCCGGTCAGACGATATGGGCTGCTAAGGCCTTCTATGGCTGATTTGAAGGGTAAGGGCACGGTGAAAATCACAATGCTTTGCTTCCCAGAGCAGGTGAACACCAGCTCCTCCACTGCTCCACAAGTTGCCACAAAACGATGGCTGCCGACATGACGCTGACAAATTCGACTATAATTCAAGATCTGTTGCACGCACAGTGCACGTTGGTCGGCAAGCGTCCAGTGTGGAATTGCAATGGGGACGCCGGTCCAAGGACGGTTCCTAGGCGCATGCTCAAAGGACAAGAGAATCACATTGTGGTTCATCCTCATCAACGAGTCATCGAAAATGAAAAACAGGCTAATCTTCTGACCGTCGACAAAAAATCTAACCCAATCAGTTGGAACAAACCAGATGCTTCCTGTTGCCAATGTCCAAGTGCCTCAACGCCCTTCGGTGAGATGCTTTTGAAGCCCTGACTGAAACACTCTCTGAGCTTTGAGCACATAGTTGGCAACTCCGGCTCACGGCATGTCCGCGATTGAAAGATCTGCGGCAAAAGGCGCAGGAAGTAGCAAAATCGCCTTGCAATACAAGTCAAAGCTGTGAGACGTGGAAAGCGCTTATTCTCCACAAAGATTGCAGTGTGAGCTCGAAGTCGACCAAGTCAGGATCCTGATGCGCTTGATCCCAAGTCTACAAAAACAGTGGCTCTGTCAGTAGCCCTGTCAGCTTGTCCCCATGTTGGCGCAAAGGAGCGGCGCGAGTTACACGCAATATGACGCTTGAGTGGAGACGAAGGCAGTGGGCACAGGCGGCATCCTTCCAAAGAGCCACGCGCATATCTGAACCCTGCTGATGTTGCTCCACCCGGCGATTGAAAGTGGCTGCGGTTCCAAGTTCGGCCGGCAGGTGGGACAGGTGAACATGATCTCAGTTTGAGTGGCTGGTCCAAAATGCACGCTCAAAAGTTCTTCCAAGACATAGACGCAATCATGGCCCGCAATGAAGCTATCGATGTAGACTAACTCAACGGCAGGCAACAGATCGCGGTGAAGGAGAAAAGCAGCACCCTGCTCTTGGTCTTACGTGGGGCGTCTCGAAGGATAGACATGGGGGGCCCAGTTTCAAAAAAGCCCCTAGAGCATGCTGCTGAAAAACACAAGTGCTCCATAATGTCATGCCTTGCTGCTTGCTGAGATGTGCACTCGAGCACAGCCAGGTTCGAAGGCGTTGGTGTGTGAGACGATGGGCCAGCGTTTGATCGTCGAGTGTCTTGTAGCTCAAGCTATGGCGGGAGTGCCCATGCTCTTAGGACTTTGAGGCACCAAGTGTCGCTGCGCTTTGTAATGATTCGTGCCCAAACTTTGGGCATTGCCACCAGCACAACTGTTCTCGACAGTTCCTGTCCTGGGAGAGGCAGGCACACACAAGGATGATGGCCTGGTAGCCGGCTGCGTGTCTAATGATCTTAATGCGTGCGCAATGTGAAATCGACCTGTACCAGGTGTCCTCTAGTCACTAGTCTGTGCCTGGCGGAATGCCCTTCTAAAGGAGTCTTCCTGATATGTGCTTGGCAAAGTTTCGGGAATTTACATGCAAATCGAGAGCAAAAGGAGGCGCAAAGTCTGCATGTGTTCTCAAGCCTGATCCGGTCCAGGCTCAACCCTCATGCCAAGTGGTGTCTTGAGCAGAAGGTAGGAAGCAAAAAGGCGATGGCAGCAATGACGAAATGGCGAAGCTTGGCCCGTCAACAAACAATGGCTGCAGCCAGTGGGACAAACCGCCTCGAACCAGAGTGGCACTTCGACATGTAGTGTGGTCATGGGTGATGTACTAAAGCGTTGTGGTGTGATTTGCGATGTGTTGAAGTCTACTGCATTGATTTGATCCTGTACGCACCTTAGCTATTCTATTCTTTCCTCAACTCAGAAAGTTCTTACCACAATTGCTTCATCATAGCGAGACTTTCTGGAGAAGTGAGAGCCCAACATTTTCGCAGCTGGAACTCCATCAAAACAAGGTTCCTCGGCAGCATCCTGAGTCCGTCGGCACAATTGGCAAAGGCGGATTGAAGAATATTGCAAAGACTGTGCAAACCTACACGCCGTCCTCGCTTTCAGCCACTTCAAAACCAGCACCCGAGCAAAAAGCTGCAGGGTCCTGCAAAACCAAACCATCAAGCCACCCACCACGACCGTGATCAACAAAAGGTGCTTTCTTCATGTGCAAGTGACTGTATTTGAGTAGGCCAGCTTTGGAAGGAGACATCGAGCCAAACAACCCCCAAGCACAGTAACCCCTAAAATTGACCTTGGGACCTTGGGCAGCTTACCAAAGTAGACAACCTTAAAGAGCCAACACATCGCTAGCAGGGTGGAGGCGGAGGCCATCGCTCTTGGGTTGGAGGCCATTGCTAGTAGTATTTTCGTTCCCTCTTTGCACTGCACCTAGCGAATCTGCATCTTATCGTCAGCCTTGTTTTGTGCTCCTGCTTCGTTGTTTTTGACACCGTGCCTCGAATCCGCTGGTAGCTGCCCCCTCCTACTGCTACATTGCACTCTGCAGCACACACCCACAAAGAGTAAAACCGAAGCGTGAGAGCAGAGAAGGGCGTCAAGAGAAACAGGTGAAGCCTCGCCTTCACCAATCAGTTCGATTGTCTATAAACTGTCGTGGTGCCAAATGGCAACACTGAGTTCGGGTTTGAATGCTTGCTGGCCCCACCTCAGGTCGGCGCCACGTTTGACTGGGTTTGTGCTGAACTGCATAGGCCTGACTTAACGCCTTAATGGTTTTGTTGCTAATGGTTTTCCAGTTGAGCCTATCTGGCAACTGATGACACGCCCTGTTCTGGGTTTATGCAAATGGGCACGACCAAATACACGTTTGGCGCCACAGCGTTGACAAGCGAGAGGGTGAGTGGTTTTAAACCAAACGATCACCGTGTCGACCTGCACGACCCCAACATGTCCATAGTAAAAGCTACTAGTAGCGATGCCCTTGTTACTAGTAGACCAGGCTAAAAGGCTTGGGCTGCGGCGGGCGGCAGCTGCCACTCCCGACATAACAGAATAACAGAACTAGGCGGGGTCTCGCCGAGGCTTTGATGGAAACAGCGCAAGCAAGTCAAATGCAAATGCATGCACATATCCATACACGTACACATGTACAAATATGTGTCAATATATACACATACATGTAGATACAGATATAACACATGCACATACACATACGTTTGAAACATACACGCCGTCCTACACTCAAGGGCAACATAGACCCACTCGCACTCCCAGCGTCAGTTTTGCAAGGCGCACAGTCTTCAGTGCTCATGGTTTCAACAACTTGGCATGGTTAGAAGAGCTTTCGAGTCATTAAGATGTCCAGAACCTCCTATATAAGTCCATTGCCCAAACAAAACATCGTAGAACAGTGGAGGGCGATGCCATCGAAACTTCCCACAACATGTTAATGTCATGGGAAGGTTCTCGGCTCAGTCATACGACTGAATAACGACCACAATCAGATTCATTGCAGAGTGACCGCCTCCAGTACCCCACCAGATTGCGTACTCAATTCTCAAGCTCACTATATACTTGCCTGTTGCGCACAAACAACACACAGGACAGGCTTGCGCACATACTGAACAAGCGCTTTGGCACGTATGCAGCTGCGGCCGGATGCCAGCGCATCCCGCTGATCGAAATCTGGTCGTTGCTTTGCGTCGAAAGAATTCTTTGATGCATCCTCAGGCCTATACACGGGAAGGCAGAAACATGCATCTTGTTCCCTCAATGTGCTTCGATGCACCCCGTCAATCTTCTGCTCTCCAGGGAATTCTGCTCTCCATGGGCTTTGGGAAACAAGAAAATGAATCCAATCTGCTCCCAATGCGAGTTGAAAAAAGAATCTAGCCGATCGTCCCGCAAGTGTGTCCTCAATGCCCTTTGTACTCTCTCTCTCTCTGTGTTTTTTTGGCGAAGATACACCGTTTGCCTATCACCACACAAAGTCTGCTCTCAATTTGCTTTGACCGTGACAAAGGATGGTGGTAATTTGGATGATGTACATCTTTTAAAAAAATGGAAACTCTAGAGCTCGGCCCAATCGAAACTACAGCTTGGAACACTGCTTTGAGGCTTTGGCCGTTGTCTCGACTTCTCAACCCACCAATGTGCAGCACAAATGGAAAGCATCAGCACAAAAGCTCCTCGGTAATCTCGCTCAGCGGGCTACACACCAGGGCGCTAGGTCCACAAGGTGCTACGGAGCCCTGGCAAAATGTCCACCGGACCCACAAGTCAAGCGCCGTTCTACTGCATCCCTGCTCCTGGTACCTACTTGACCTACCACCAAATTCAAAGGTGCTGGCACCAAAAGGCCATCGCTAGTAGGTTGGAGGCCATCGCTTCTAGGCTGGCTTCTAGGTTGAGGCCAGGTTGGAGGCCATCGCCTCTAGGTTGGCTTCCAGGTTGAGGCCAGCGCTAGTAGGTTGGAGGCCACCGCCTCTAGGTTGGCTTCTAGGTTGAGGCCAGCGCTAGCAGGTCATCGCCTCTGGGTTGGCTTCTGGGTTGAGGCCAGCGCTAGTAGGTTGGAGGCCATCGCTTCTAGCAAAAGACTCCAAATGTTTAAGAAAAAGACTCCAAATCACACTATTGCCAAAATCTGTCAGCTTGGCTGCAGAGGTTCCAGGAGCAAAGAAATCTTGCGCGCAAGATTCAAACCTCAGCAGTGATTGAAAAAGATCGCAATAAAGACATCAATTGCTGGCCACTCCGTGTATCGTTCTGACTCATCATTAGAGCAGCAGTGTGATACACCCCAGTGTACGTTTCCAAATCAAGCCAAAAGGCCACAACCTGCAAAAGGAGGGGCAAAGGACAACCAGGCTGTCTTGCGCCTGCGATATTCACCAACGCCAGTAGGATTGCTCGGGAAATCTCTTGAAAAACCCTTGTGAAATCCTTGCAAACTCCTTGGAAATACTGCGCATAATACAATACTTGCAATACTGAAGTCTAAACTGGTGAGCGGCTTGTGCACCTTTATGCCGATGCCAACATCTCCATCCTGGCAACTTCGTGTCATACAAACTGCATGAATCGGCGTGTCCTAAATGCAGCCAAGCCACACAGATCGAGCAAAATGCCAAACGACCCATCTGAGCACACCTGGCTCGGGTCTGTCAGCTCTCAACCCAATGGCCTCCACCCTACTAGCATCGCTTCCAACCTAATAGGAATGGCCTCCAACCTAATTGCGTGATTTCCCTAAAGATCTAGGAACCACATGAATAGTGCGAGCGCTTCTTCAAGGAAGCGTGAACTATCCTGCGTCCTAGCTAGAAGCTTCCTATTTCTAGTAGCGAACAGGAGCTGACTCCTTAATTGAGAAACACTACTTGGCCTGACCTGCCAGATCTTTCATGCGAAAACCCTGCAAAAGCAGTTCTGACCTCGGCAAACAGTGGATCACATGAGTTTCACATGTAGAGGGCCAAGAGTTTCACCTGCTTTGTATGGTTTCGCTCACAGCATGTCCTCAAAAACTCAGCAACGTTTTGCATCCTGTCTATGCAACAAGCAATCAAACTTCGGGCCTCTTGTGATGTTCATCACAAAAGCTAAGGTCCTCAAAACACAAACTTCCGTCAACCGTTCTCTTCTCTACGCACAAACATTGCAGACTTTCAAAGCGCTGCTGGCCGTCTTGTGTGGCATTGTGTGTTGCCCTTTGCTCCTAGTAGCGAACCTTGCTCCTAGTAGTAAGGCCAGGAGCCCCTAGTAGCGTCCTTGTTCCTAGTAGCGATGCCCTTTGCTCCTAGTAGCGTTCTTGCTCCTAGTAGTGCGAAACCCTTGGGATCAGAACCTTTTAGGATTGAAACTGGCAGGGCGCTCTCGGAGCCATGAGACGAGAGCCAGAGAGCCAACGAAGACGCTCACGCAGTGCTTGTGCAAACGTACCTGTTGACCATACCTGGGCACCTAAGTGCAGCTGGTGGGTCCGTTGTTAGTCCCTGCTTTTGACTAGAACAAGAACTCCACCCTTCGCACCTGTTTGCATCGGCAGTCATGCATTGGCTTTGCGGACCTTGGACTACTTGGAGTCGTTTGGAAGTTCATGGAGGCTCTCATGGTCAGAGCGCTTTAGATACCTTGTCCCGGGTACTCTTAGGCATTCATACCTAGGTGGGCATGGCAAGTGGCTTTCAATTCAGTACGCATTTCCCGAGTGTGTGTGTGTGTGTCAACCCCTGTTCCAAAGGGTGCGACCTTCCTTCGAGACAAGCAGGGGGACACCACTGGCATTTCCCGTCCAACGAAGAGGATGCCAGTAGGTGCTGATGCAGTGGGGGACGCCCCACTGTGTACCTGTTCCATGAACTGTTGCTTAAGCTGTCCAATCTTTCCTTTTTGTTTCCATGGTGGTTCATGCTACTTCCCCTAAACCCTTTCCTTTGCCGCTCGCGAGCGCTGCTGTCGCACCACTGCAGATGAGAAACACTTCAATGTTAAAACACCTTCAAGTCTTTGGACCTTTCACCATGCCGTTCCTTCACCTTCCTTCTCAACGTGGGAATTGAGTTAACTGCAAACCAATGTCAAAGTGTGAGCCGCTCAGCCGTCCCACTTGGGTGCTGGGTGTGATCCTCCGCAAGGAGGCGCCGTTTTCATGCCGGAAATCATTGTTTCCATTTTTATAACTGAATTCACTTTCTCCACTTGTATAATAACTGACTTAACTGATCCAACAGCCGTCGGGCTTAAAAACGAATTTGTCAGCCGCCGGGCTTAAAAACGGCACACACACACACACACCCCACTTGAGGCAGGTCTCCCGACCCCCCCCCACTGTGTTCTACTCCTTACCTATTTTGGGTAACATAGAGAAATGGTACTCGACACACTTGTGCGTCGGCGCCTTTCCCTCTGTTGTCCCTTTTCTAGTCTACCCTACCCGTGCGGTTTAAGACTAAAGTCCCGCCGCTCCCTAACTATTGCACTTAATTCGTTTCCGCTAAGTAGTCAGTAACTCTAGAGGGCTAAGTATTCAAACACACACATGTACACACACATGAACGCACACCCCCACCCTGCCCCCCCCTTTCCTTCTTGCGCTTTTCGTCGTTTGTTGGGCTTTCTTTCAGGCTTTTTAGGTGGTTCTTGAGGCTCGTTTCCCTACCCCAGTCAAGGGCTAAGTATTCATTTTTTCATTTTTCTACACCTATCGTTCTCTCTTGCCCTCTTAGCGCTGCTCTTTCTGTCTTTCTTTCTTTTGTTTCTAAGGCTTTTTAGGTATCTATTCAGGTTTCTCACGCGAGCGCCGCCAAGCGGCACCGTGTGTGTGTCAACCCCTGTTCCAAAGGGTGCGACCTTCCTTCGAGACAAGCAGGGGGACGGGACACCACTGGCATTTCCCGTCCAACGAAGAGGATGCCAGTAGGTGCTGATGCAGTGGGGGACGCCCCACTGTGTACCTGTTCCATGAACTGTTGCTTAAGCTGTCCAATCTTTCCTTTTTGTTTCCATGGTGGTTCATGCTACTTCCCCTAAACCCTTTCTTTTGCCGCTCGCGCGCGCTGCTGTCGCACCACTGCAGATGAGAAACACTTCAATGTTAAAACACCTTCAAGTCTTTGGACCTTTCACCATGCCGTTCCTTCACCTTCCTTCTCAACGTGGGAATTGAGTTAACTGCAAACCAATGTCAAAGTGTGTCATACTTGCTCTTGTGGTTTGCTGCAACCCGTGGTCGATGGATCTCTGTTGTGATTTGCTTGATTTGGCGATTTGTCATGATGTGCTGGTATTTGTGGTGTTGGCTGCAATCGGTGGTGATCATTGGTGACTCCATTTCTGCTAGCAAAACCTTCCATCATGCGCAAGTGCAGCTGCCTTGACTTGCACCCTGGGAATTTCCCAGGATGAATTCTAGGTGAGCCCTGCAAATTCTCCCTGAGCTTTCACTCATGAGAAATGCGGGTCGTAAGAGTCTTGAGTGGGACAGAGCTGTCAATTGCACAGACCGTGTTTGGTAAAAGTGTGATAGACCTTAAAATCCCTTTTGATTTCTTCCATCCGGAAGCCGCGGTCAAAATGGTAAAAAATCAAAACAAAAAAAACATCACCGGTTTATCTGGGTCTCGCAGCTGACTTGCTTGCCAGGCGCAGTAGAAAGATGTAAAAAGGAGTACTTGTTTACCGAAGGCTGAGTTACCAAAACCCAGGGCTGGGTTTCGTAGTTTTCGAAAGGGGCGAAATCGATCTGTTTGACCCACACCCCAGGCACAAAACTGTAAGAATAGCAGAGTTTCTTTTGTACCGCAATCTGGACGTCAGAGGGTAAATATTGAAGTTCCATCAATGCCTGAGTCCCTCAACGAATGTTACCGAAAGGCGCAGCAACCACAGTAGCACGGTAAAGACGGAAAACATCGACCGTTTTCTCTGTGGGGTGTACGAGCGAGCATCTCCGAGCAAAACGTGCGAACCGCCTTGAGGCCAAGGTGATTCTTTTGCGAGGCCATCGCTTCTAGGTTGGAGGCCTTTCACTACTCAGTTGGAGGCAGCAATTAGGCTCCTTTTGCTAGGTTCGAGGCCGTTAGTAGGTTGGTCCTGTCCTGATTGCTGCGATCCTTGGGTCCAGAGGATTCGTTGAAGCCCAGTGCCTCAGTGGAGCTGGGTATTGCAATCTTTACCTTTGCCTTGGGATCTTCCGCAAGTTTTTTGTGTTTTCAATTTTCAACAATCCTTTAAAGCAAGTAAACCCACTCCTTGCTTGTCTTGCTTTCATCGCTTTGGCCAAGCCACCTTGGAACAAGGCTCCCCAGGCTCCTCAGGCTCCTCAGCGCTCACAGTATTCAACCTTAGTCTGTTCATCTAAAGAGGAGATCATTGCTTGTAAGCGTGTCACTTAGAATGCTGCATTATACTCCAAGCCTCTTAGGGTTGCAAACAATCTCCGAAAGCTCCTGTTCCACTTGTTTCTTTAGTTTCTTCTTCTTTTACCTCTCAAGCTAGCAAAGCTCGCATCAAAGTGTTGGCTTTGAAGGGGTCAAGTTGCCAGAGCTATTAGCGTCCTTGCTCCTAATAGCGATGCCAGGAGCCCCTAGTAGCTTCTTGTTCCTAGTAGTAAGGCCAGGAGCCCCTGGTAGCGTCCTTTGCTCCGGAAACAAGAGCCAAAATGCTGAGCCAACTGCAGAGCCCAGAGCTGCAGGCACCTTGAGCGCTAAGCCGGAAAGCGCCAAAGCTGTTGAATCACATGTTCCCACTCCGCGCCTCCAAGCTGAAAGGTGGGACGACATCCTCAGTCAGTTTCGAAAGCATTTCTGACCGACTCCGTAGACTCCTTAGACCTGAATGATTTATCAAAGACCTCCTAGTAGCGTTCTTGTTACTAGTAGCGATGCCCTTTGCTACTAGTAGCTTCTTGTTCCTAGTAGTAAGGCCAGAGGAGCCCCTAGTAGCGTCCTTGCTCCTAGTAGTAATGCCCTTGTTACTAATGGCTTCTTGTTCCTAGTAGAAATGTGAGGAGCTACTAGCAGCTTCTTGTTCCTAGTAGATTGGCAAACCTTTCAAGAATGATAAAGAAAGAACACATGCAGTTTGAACACAGTGCAATGCTAGGGTCACAACCGAGGCACCCCCAGGAGGATCTCCTTAAAACAGGAACAACCGAACAAACACATGTTTCAGTGCATTAATTGTCCAACACAAAATGCAATCACAAAGCTCAATTCGTTCAAGTGTTCACAAAATGTGGTTCTTCCGGCACGTTCTGAACACAAGAGGAGAACACATTACAATCGTCCTTGGTTGGTCCTACAACTTCCTATGGCATGGCATGGCAATCTGGATGGCGCTAACGTGGCTCTGGAAACTGCTTCAGATTTGCTGGAATAGGGAAAACGAACAAATGTCCAAGGCCTTGGACAACTGGGCCAAAAATCAAATACGTTCAAGATAACTACATGCTGGAGTAGCAAAAATCACCGTAACACCAAGATGAGAGAACTCTGCATAACTGTTTGTGCAGGTGGCCAATTGATCCGCTTGAGTGAGAGGCCGCAATCCTCTGCAAATCCCGTTCCTTCAACATGTGGCTTTCAAAAACCGTTTGTACCTACTTGGTGAACACCGTGGCTTCAAGTGCTCTATTTTTGAACCAAAGCTGTGCGAAGGATCTGTGCACCTTCTGGTCATCAATGCGCCCCTCCCCCCCAAGACAACAGGTTGCCAAGAGGACACATTGAATGGTTCTTTCGCTGGCATCAGGCAAGGAAGGGCATTGCACATGGTTGCCACCTGTAAACTGCAGACTGCCACAAGAAATATCGAAACCTCCTTTCTGATTTCAAGCTCGCTTCCGCTGGCACCCCATCCAAACACACACGTTCGGAAAATAGTGTTCTTTAATGTTCGGTTCGTGTTCATGAGGCTCAAAGTGGCAACCATGTCAACGAAGGTTCAGGTCGATCGAGAGTCAAGTGCAATAGCTTTTTAACGCGCATCTGCCGACCTCGATCTCAGATACCGAACCAGCCTGAGAGCTACTAGGGGCTCCTGGCCTTACTAGGAGCAAGGACGCTACTAGGAACAAGTGCATCGCTTCTAGTAACAAGTGCCTTACTAGTAGTAACAAGAAGCTAGTAGAAACAAGTGCCTTACTACTAGGAGCGATCGGACGCTACGATCGGGGCCACAGTAGGCTGTGGCCACAACAATTCAGGTACGTCAATCCAGCGTCCCGGATCGACAGATTCTTCGCTGCCAGTCGGGTGTGCATCCCTGGCACCCCCAAAACAAAAGCCGAAAAGCACCCTCTGAATCCAAGGGTTACACACACAAGCCCCACATGTGCACGCAAGAAACGTCAAATGAAAGGACGTGAAAGAAAGACATGAAAAAGGCACCCGATGTAGGCGAAGGCAATGAAGGGGAAACCAAATGAGGAACAAACCTATGAGCCAACTCACATTAAGAATACCTGGAGCACTTCAGCCTGGTTTGGTAGGTGTGCAAGTGTGCGCTAAGGCCCGAGCAGATGTGCACGCAAAAGAAGAAAAGGATGAAAAGGAGAGACATGAAGGCAGGAAAGACTTGAAAGCAAAGCAAGGACTGTACCAGATGGAAAGAGATCAACAAGACAACAAAAAAAAAAACTTATAAAAACCTGGGCTCCCACAGTGGCATGCTCTTTACTTTCCGTAGCTGGAAGAGGCGCTCCTTTTCGCCACAGTGTCTGGACATCAGAGCAGAAATCTCACTTGGCACTTGATGGCCAATTAAGAAGGCTGTTGCTGAGCGTCGCTAGCATGCTAAGCTACGTGTCAGAAGGGCGACGTGAATGACAAGTCTTGGGCTGACAATGTATCAGAACGTCAAGCGACACTCAGAGACAGAATCCTTGCAAGGACGAGCCGCCAGGCAACGCTGGTTTGGGCCTCTGCAAGAATTTGCTTGGAAATGACAATGGCTTACTGGCGGCGCGCATTCTTTCAAATTCTCCAGCACAAGAGCATACGCTCAATATTGACCATGGGCTAGTATGCCTATGCGTTCTGTGCGTTCGGATTTTAGCCAAGAAGGCAATGATTGCAGCACTCTGGCTCACAATCCTTGCGTCCGAGGAACGGCTCGAATGTCTACCAGAAAAATACCAAAGCCGGTTGACCCGTGTGGTCAATATGTTTTCCCGTAAAGGCAAATGTGTTGTCAAGCTCTTTTCACAGGGCTGGTGCTGACAAGTGCACAAGCCACTTTGCCATACAAGTCCTATCCCCTTGAAACGAAACCATGAGACCCAGTAAATGCTGGCTCAGTGGGACTGCGCAAACCCAGTCCAACCATGCAAGTGTTAGAACTGCAGCTCCTCAGGCCCGGACAACCACCACCTCAGGACACGCCAAGGTGACAGCCGCTTGCATTAAACAAGCTAAAGTAAAGCACTATTGGGGCACGGTCTAGTCCGACACAAGCGATCATGAATTCAAGTGTCAACTTCTATCAAACGAGGACATTTTGTATCATGAAGGATCAACAGAAATTGACATCCTCTCGACCCCATCCTCTCGACCCCAACTTTGGCTGCCCGGACTTGAAATTTCAAGCCATTTACATGTGATGGTTATTGTCCTTGACAGAACCTAGATTTAACTTTGCAAGAAAAGCACCTGATTTGACAAATGCAAGTTTCCCGAAAGATCCAGGAACCAAATCAATCATGCGAGGGGTTCACGAAGCTCCCCCTGCCAGGAGACCCTTCAAGAATCCTGAACCACGCCTCCCCGCATCTAGTACCTTCCTGCCCCTAACACAACGTCCTCTTTTGCTCAAAAAGTAAAGAGCAGTCGGTCTTGTACACCATACATGCGGAGTTTCAATCGGGCTCTACTCTTTGCTATATTTTTTTCTACAAAGAGGCCCTCGGAAAAATCTGAGAAGGTTACGTCGGATCGGTTGCGCTTGCACGGGGTGTGTTTGACTTTGACATGATCGGCTGCCACTCGCTCTCAGGCGCCGAGTCTGAATACGCCACGCCTTGCCAACTGTGACTTGTGACTGTCATTGAAGGCCGCTGCCTGCCACGAAATCTGCACCTGTAGGTTCACAAACGCTGCGGTGGAAACGAAATCTGCGATACACATCGCGCAGCCCTGCAAATGCGTTTCGCAGCAAATTTCTGGTCAAAGAATAAGGAAAAGGAAAAAAGTAATAATATGTAAAAATGCCGGGCGCAAAGGACTGATAAGTCATCAGGGGGCGCAGATTTCGGGGCAGGCGCCACATGTTGTAAACCTCGAAATGCAAGTTTCGTGGCAGGGGCAGCATTTTGTTAACCTAGAAATGCCGGTTTTGTGGCAGGCGCGGCCCTCACTCAAAGCGCAGATTTCGTGGCAAGCGCGGCCCTTTGCGAACCTCGAAGTGTAGATTTTGTGGCAAGCACAGCACTTTGTGGCAGATGCAGCAAATGTACTCTCATATTTGTGCTCTCATGTGCGTGCGCGTGTGTATGTGTGTGTGTGTGCCACACCCGGTCTCTAAGGGTCACCAACAGGTTCTTGACTTTGCTTTTTTACTGTGCTCAATATCCGAGTTCAAATCAGCAGGGGGACATGGTGTGCAGTCAGGGCCATGTCCAACGAAGCTACCTGATTGTACGGGATATGAGACTTGGTCACTCTCACACACCTGTTTTCTTCCAGCCGTGATTGTGAACAATATTGTTCTGGACTCGGTTGTGCGCAGGTCCAGTTCCAGGTCAGCTGAGGTCGTTCCTGCAGCAACAAACATGTAAAGGGCAAACGCACCGGGAAACATTGTCTGAACGAATGCTCATTCAGTTGTGCATCTGTGTGTCTGAAACCCTTGGAATCACAGGGAACCTGCCGGTTTTTGATTAGCTTTTGATTGCAAGGGAGTGGTGGGCAATCCGCTCAACGAAGACACTTCAAGTTTCCTGTGATTTGCAATCTGGACGCAGATTGCACTTACCTACCGGAAAATGATCACCAGTTATTTCCTCCTTGGTCCCGTTTGTAACTAAACAATGGATTCAGCCTTTGCAACGGTTCCTCGCCGAACTTCCTGTTAGAGTCTTGAACTGTGGAACTTTGGGGCCTCCTCCCTTTCCACGAGACCTCCAAAATGTTCCCCCCTTACATGTTTCCCGCAGGATTCTGGGCACCTAGGTCGGCAAGTGGCAAGTGGCATTCAATTTCCGTACGAATTATCCTGAGCGTGTGCCCTCATATGTGTGCTCTGATATGCGGGCTCTCGCGCATGTCCTCTCATGTGTCTCAACATGTGCTCATATGCGTCCTCTCTGGACCCAAACCTCTAGACCTCTGCACCTCTAGATTTGGATCTTTCTAGATGTCTTGGTTTTTCTGGGCCTCGAGACTTCTACGACCTTTAGGTTTTGAGCTGTTGATATCTCTGGACTCTCAAGGTTTTTCGGGTTTTGAGGGTTGTCCAGATCTCTTGATCTCTCTGGATCTAAGATCTCTAGACCTCCAGACCACTAGATCTCTAGACCTTCTAGATTTTTGTAGATCCCTTGGCCATTGATCTTTCTAGACCTCTAGACTTCTAGATCTCTCTGGATCTTGAGACCTCTAGAACTCCACATCTCTCAAACTCTAGATCTCCACACCCTGAAACTCTAGGTTTCCAGGCCTCTGGACCTAGAGCTCTGGATATATCTGTCTCGGGAGCTAAATGCCTAGATCTTTCTAGACCTCTAAATCTCTCTGGATGTCAAGATAAGGCCTTAGACCTCTGGATCTCTAGACCTCTACATCTCTAGATCTCTCTGGAGTCCAATACGTCTAGATCTCTAGACCTACATAGACCACTGTTTGGGGTCTCTTGCCGGGATAGTTGCCTGTTTAAGACTCAAGCCATGAACAAGACGTCAATCCACACAGTTGACAAGCTCCTTCTGTTCTAGGACCTAGGAAAAGGCGCTGTTTGCTTGACTTGTGATTTTTTGTGGTAGCTGTTTCGTTGACTTGTGAGTTTTAGTTGTAGGTAGGCATGATGTGTAGGTATGTATGTACGTATGCACATGTGTAAGTATGTGTACATAGAGAAACAATGTGTTTCTTTGCCGGCGACAATTTGCGACCAAGCTGCAAAGCCGCAGTGACGTTCGCGAAGCTTTCGCGATCTTTTCGCCTTGAACCTGGTGAAACACCCTGTTCTAATCTGAATGAAACTTGGGAAACTCCTGGTTCTAGACGAGAAAGGAACCTAATAGCGATCCTCCAACCTACTAGCGATGGTCTTCACCTAGTAGCGATGGTGTTGAGTTCGTTTCCTCTTATGAAGTTTGAAAACTTTAAAGCAAATTGTCCGAAGTATATCGACATCACTTTTGCTTGTCCTCAAGAGAGTGAAAATGTCCCTGTTCAACGGAGAGGTGCATCGGTGCATCCCTCACTCCCTCACGCTTTCTTTCAATTCTACTTCTGCACGTCACTCTCACCAACAGGAAGGGTCTGTGAAAGGTGGGAGGAGACCTATAACCAGGCCCTGGTGAAAAAGGGTCTTGGTCCTGCGAAGCGCCGACACTGATGTACAGACTACTTGCAAGCAAAACTACATACACAACAACTGGGTTGCTTTGATATCCGCCGACCCCTGCCTAGCTGACGCCTAGGCGGGGAGGCGCCCGGGACACCGGAGGGAGAAACACTGCAATGCTTAGACCCGAGCCTCTGGAACCTGTCACCCCGGCCTGCACACCCTTCCCGGCACCTTTGGCTTAGGCCCCCAGCGCACGTTTGGCCGACTCCTGCCCCGCAGCCTTTGCATTAGGCGGGAGCCTCGGGAGCCTGGGGAGGGAGCCTCTGGAACGTGCAGCCCGTGCACTGCAGCCTTAGAACTGAGCCTCTGGAAGGTGCCACCTCGGCCTGCACCTCTTTTCTTTAGGGCCCCCGTCCAGGCGCCCTCAAACGCTCCCCAGCGCCTTAGGCTTACTCCTGCGTCGCAGCCTTGCTGGCGTCAGGGTTTCGGGAGGGAGCCTCTGGAACGTGCAGCCCGTGCACCGTAGCCTTAGAACTGAGCCTCTGTCGGTCTGTGCCTCTTTTCTTTAGGGCCCCGAAGGTGACGTCCAGGCGCCCTCAAACGCTTCCCAGCGCCTTAGGCTTACTCCTGCGTCGCAGCCTTGCTGGCGTCAGGCTCCCGGGAGGGAGTCTCTGGAACGTGCAGCCCGTGCACTGTAGCCTTAGAACTGAGCCTCTGGAACCCGAAGGCAACGTCGAGGCGCCTTCAGAAGCCTCGTGGCACTTCAAACCCTTCCCGGCACCTTTGGCCGTCCTGCAACGCAGCGTTGGCTAGGTGGATGATGGGTCTATACTCTATTTCTTTGTTTCGCGCTTGCGCTCTTGAACTTGCCACGTGTTTTTCGGGGATGGTTTTCCCGCTGGCGTGTTGTGTTGGCAGCGAACACGCCCAAACAACTGTGAGGACCAGACCACAGTCTGGCACGCTTGGCATGTGTGCGGATGCTGCTGCGTCTGCATGCTAACCGTGCCTTCTTTCACATAGAATTGGTTGCCGCACACGGTTCGGTGATTTATCTGCCCTGTCCTCACGTTACTCGCCACAGTTCCATTGCAAAATGGACACGCGTAGACTAAGTTCTTAGCGGCAACGTGACCGTCTTTGACGCGAAACTTCTTCCCGCACGCACGGCGGTGATCTTCTTGGCCTGCGCGCACAGTGCTGGTGACAGACACGTCGCAAAAAGGACACGCATATTGGAACATTTCCTTGGCGGCCGTCTGTCCAGCCAACTTTGCCCGCGGTGCGTTTGTCGTCTGCGCGGCTGTCGGGGTGGCTCGCATCTCTTGTTGCGGCTTTGCCTGCGAGGTTCGTATTGGCGGCGGCGCTGTCCTGGCTTTGGCGTTTGTGCCCGTTTGGGTTTCGGTTGGCGCTAGACTCTTGTCACTTCCCGGTTCCCTTTTCTGTTTGTGGTCTGTGCGCACGCGGCTGCTCACCGACACGTGTTTCGCGCGCTTCGCTGCAGGCTCTGCCTGTGCTACTTGCGTTGTCCTTTGTTGGCCAGATACCCATTGAAATCCCCCACATCCAAATTCATCCAGTCATGTCACCTCCACTGCCCCTGCAGCATCCCAGCCCACCACGACCGTGCATAGTACTTGCATTCCCTACCTTCAGGTTCGTGAGAATAGAACGCCCATCTTCCGTCCACCGACGAGCATTGGCCCCACATCGTACCCCTCCCTCTTCTACTCCTCACCCCCGTCCACGTCTCATCTCTTCCGTCCACGGACAGACGTTAGCTTTTCGTCGATCGTCCGCGGTGGACTTGAAGGATTCCAACTGCCACCGCGCCAACACCGGACCACGCCCACAGACCAGCGACCGTTCGTAAGAAGCAGTGATG